TATTTAATTTTGTGTGGTGAATTGGTAAAAATCTTAAAAGGAATTACCATGTGTGTGGTAACCTTTCTAGGATACTTTTATCAAAGTTACAAAATTTAATCTGAGGAAAATGTAATAGTAGCACAAAATAAAATATATGAAATCCCATTTTATGAGCAGCCAAATATTCAGCCTAAATTAATTATTTAGAAACTGGTCTCATTTTTGAGATACTAAGGTCCTTTATTTTCTTCATCCTTTATTCTGCCTACATTTCCTATTTTGCAACTCATTTATATAACCTATTCTAGGAAAGAAAGGACAAAAAAGAAGGAAAAAAAAGGATCTGTTAATATAGCTATTTCTTAGAGGATGTGAAAGAAGTGGAGAAAGGTTTAAATTGCAAGGAGAGATCCATTGTGGGTCGCCTGCTACACCAATAGGCAGCAGATATAATTCCTTTGTCTTCACCTGGTCTGGATAACTAAGAATTAGCTGATTATGTTTTGAAAGACGTAGAACACTGCATCTCTAAAACTATTCATCATCAATGACTGAATGATCCTGCAACAACTGAAGCCTTGTCTACAAAAATGCACTGAAGCTTTTAAATTAAATAAAAATTTCTGATATCATTAAAGCTAATGTATCTTTAGCCACATCAAATTATTAGCTATTTTTCTTAATTGCTGCTTCATTTGGTGTACAACTCACTATGCCAAAGAAATACAAATCTGGGTAACTAAAAAAAAAAAGAGAGACAAAAAATTTTTAACAGAAAAATATCTACATAGAAATTCAAAACCATTGCAGGCATTTAATTGAAAGTATCAGCCATTATGTACTTAAATAAATATATCAAGAAAGAAGGCAGCAATGGAACCTAAAACCTATTACAAACTGAATACACAAATGGACAGAGGCCAGATCATACATAAAAGAAGAAGTCTAACTCCCAGCTTACGGCAACTTGACTAGGAAATCATATCTACAATAAACAGCCTAGGAAGCCAACCTCCTCTACGTCAGACTTGCAGGAAGTCAGATTGTTACCTCCAGCAGCAATCCAGGAAGCTAAACAATAACATCTATAATAACTGAAGCAAAGCAGTCAAGACTTGATAACTAACAGTTTCACTAAATTATCACCACTTTCAATTTAGGAGAAAACAGAGAAAGACAAATATGCACCTCAAACCAATCACATTGAATGCCTCACTTCTAATTACCCCCCTTACAGCTTCCCCACACCAAAAGCCTGGAACCAACGCATACTTGAAGTCTTCCCTTTTCTTCACTATAAAGCTTTCCCACTATTTTGCCTGCCTTTAAGTCTTTGCACATTACAAGTGGCAGTGGCTAACTCCCTTGCTATATAGCAAGCTCTGAATAAAGAGCCTTCACCTTTCTCTTTTAGTGGGTCTTCGTTTATTTGCACACTACTGAGTATCTACTACATATCCATCAATGGGGAACACATTTTGATATCCTAAAAAGTTAATCTTCACAATATTTTGAGACTATTTTTTTTATCCCATTTCACAGATGTGCAGAACTAAAGTTTGTAGAAGTTCGACATTTTCTCAAGCTTTCCCATTCACGTCATGCTAGAGTAATAGTTTTTGGTATATTATTGTGATAAAGGTATTTAAGATACAATTAAAAAGCACTAACAATAACAACAATAATAACACAACAACTATAAATTAGTTGGTTCTTTTTTTTTAGCATTACTTGCATTTGTATCTATCAATTTGCTGGATAAATGTCAACATTGTATTTTTAATTGACTCATTGCTTTAAAGTTATAATGAAACAAAATACATACAGAATTTGAAATAACCAAAAGCACCATAGAAGAAATGAGTTCCATATCTTATTTTTTATAAAAGTACATCAGCAGAAATAATTTCCTTGTCAAGTAGTAACTGAAGGAACAGGTTTTCTTTTTGTTTGTGTGTGTGTTTTTGTTTTTGTTTTTGTTTATAGATAATGTGTAGTAAACCTTTTAAGAGGGGCACCTGGATGGCATCTGCCTTAGCTCAGGTCCGGACCTCTGCGTCTGGGATCAAGCCCCAGGTCCAGCTCCCTGCTCAGTGAAGAACCGGCTTCTCCCTCTCCCACTGCCCCTGCCCCCAGTTGTGCTCACACACGGGCTTGTGCAGTCTATCTCAAATAAATAAATAAAATCTTAAAAAAAAGAAAGAAAGAAAGAAAACTTTATAAGAAAACATAGTTATTTACGATATTGACAAGGAAATAACTAAAAATGAACTTTGAGTGATTCTAGAAAAGAAAAAGTAGTTGCCTGACACTTTTTAAAAGATAATTAGTTAACAATCACAGAAGTTGACTATTTATTGTATTTATTTTACAAATGAAGAAAGAAGTTGGGAAGACATTTAAGAGCATTACCTAAAACTTATCAGTTAATTAGCAAAATAGTCTATATTCAAAACCTGAAATTTTTGGTTTCAAGGTTCAACAGATATGCTCAAGAAACATTTGATTAAAATTCACTCTAAGATATTCCCTTACCACATAGGTTGGCACAGAACCTAAAGTTGAAATAATTTATTTTCTAACTATAAAATAATATAACTTAGTTTTATACAGGGAAAACAGCATTTGCACAAATTAGAAATTATCATAGAAGCTACATAAAACTAGATTTTTTTTTTTAAAGAACAGGAAAATACAGGTGATTAATAAGGCCTTTTAATGCCTGAAAATAAAATGGTATTTAAGAACAATTCCCTTAACAAAGACCTGAAAAACTAAAAAGATATCTACAGATAACATTGTTTAAATAATAATGTGGAATAAGAAATGATGACTAAAGGCCAAATAATTTCTCAGGTGGCTTGTACTTTGTCTCACTAATTTCATTTAGTTAATTCAAACCTTTATTAAGAATTCCTTGCATTGAGCCTAAATTAAAATGAACAGAGTTGGAATCTGAGAAGCCTTATAAAAGCAAAAGATTCAAGCTGTTGGCCTTTATAGCATTTCATATTAAGGAAAGAAAACTACTTTCTGAGATGTCTCTCTTTTTTTGTTTGTTTGTTTGTTTTTTATTTGTGAGAGTGAGAGAGAGAGAGAGCCAAACAAGTAGGGGGAGAAGCAGGCTCCCTGCTAAGCAAGGAGCCCAATGTGGGACTTGATCCTGGAATGGTAACCTGAGCTGAAGGCAGACATTTAACCAACTGAGCCACCCAGGTGCCCCTGAAATGTCTCTGTTTTAATAAAAGTAATTAATATGTCACATAAAGTTTTAAATACCAGAGTTACAAGTTGGCCACTTTGCTAAGCATAAAATGGGGAAAAAAACTTATTCCTTTATACACCTGAAAGAGTTTGTTTTTCCTATAAACAGTACTGATGTTCAATGACTATCAATTGATTTAATATTTAAACCTTTTAGTTATCTTCTCCCCATTGGTATGGAATGACATATTTTTCATAGGAAAGAAAAACTGAGGTGTTTTCTTTTGTTTTGTTTTTTACCTCTTTGTACATCAGCCATTCTGAATGGGGCAAATGAACAAAAGTATGGAGTAGGTTGGGGAATGCATTTCATAAGAAAATCACCTGGAGGATTTTCCAAGCAACAGGTACCTCAAACAGTGAGGTAGATGTCAAGAAAAACATTGTATCATGAAGATAACATGTTCCAATAACTTTGAAGCAATAGCATGTGCAGTAGAGACAGACTGCCTGCATTAGAATCCTACCATTCCACTGGCGAACTGTATGACACCAGTCAAATATCTTAACTGTGACAAGTTTTCTTTATTTGTCAGATGGAAAGGATGATAATAGAACCCAAAGAAATTGTTGTAAGGATTCGGAGACTTAGTATACATGTGTTGGTTCAGAGTAAGCACCAGGTGAGTGTTACTTTATTATTGCTGTGAATCTGAAACAAGGCAAACAACTTCATTTTGGAAAATAAGCAGCAGGGGGAAAGTTTTCTCATGCTTATGGGCAAGATGAATAGTTTGTTTCACTGCCTGTGATAATGTCCTTAAATGCAGGAGCCTGAACACTTCTTGAAGGTGGAGTTTTGTCAAACTTCTTTGAACCTCAAGTAACAGATAATGTCTCGCATACAGACATACTCAATACATGTTGAGTGAATAATGAATGAATTTTTAAAAATAACTGAACATATGGATTGACAATTTTCAGAAAAAGAATGGTATTCATATAGAGTGGGCTAAATATTTAATATTAAATGCAAATTCTTTTCAGAAGTTTCCTTTGAAGTTTCAATCTACCTTTTAGAAATGATTCATCAGTCTTCCCAAAATGATTGTTAAAGTCCAAAGTATTGAAGTTTTCTGTTTATACTTCAAATTGACAGAGAATATTTAGTCTCTTAAGTGAAAGAGAGTTGTACTTGTATCACCTCTTGACTATGGTCATACCATTTTTTTAAGAGAGCCTACCTTGTTAAGAATTTTCATTTATTTATAAACACACAGTTTTATTAGTTTGAATGGGTTGATCTTTTGTTAATTGAATTGGTAGATTTTTAAAAACTAAGGTTTACAAACATGAGACAAAGAAAACATTTCTCATCTTGAAATCCTAAAGATATTTCAGATTACTTATCATATTACCCATGCTTGTGTTGCAAAATTAACTATACATGGCCTATCTTTCATTGATAGAGTATGTTTTTAATCTAGCAATCCTGTTGAAATGAGCTGCATAATTATTTTGTAATTCTAGGGCTTAAAATATATTTGCATGATTTTATTTTTTATTATTTATTTATTTATTTTAAAGATTGTATTTATTTATTTGACAGAGAGAGGGAACCCAAGCAGGGGGTGTGGGAAAGGGAGAAACAGGTTCCTTGATGAGCAGGGGGCCTAATGCAGGACTTGATCCCAGGACCCAGGGATCATGACCTGAGCCAAAGGCAGACACTTAACGACTGAGCCACCCAGGGGCCCCTGCATGATTTCATTTCTTAGAAACAATATGGGAAGTGGTAGATGATTATTTCTTACCCTATTTGAGTCAATTCTTGCTCTGGAAGTGTAGATGGGAGGTGGGATGTTGAAAGCCTGAGGGACCAGGTACTCCTCAGCATCCATCATGTCTTCCAAATCCTCTTCATCCAAGAGATTCTGAAAGAACTTGCTGTCGTTTGGACTGGGAAGCTTCATGCGATCATCACCCTAAAAGTTTGCCCACCAGACAAAGAAAAGATAATTCTTCCTTTCTTCTGAAACATGCGGACTTGGCAGCAAATTTATGGAATATCAAAACAAGTGGTTGAAAATCCATGCACTTGTTTAAAAACATAATTCTTTAGCACAAGTACCAGTCATGAAGAAGCCTGTAACACACTTAGATGTGACAGGATAGGATAAATACATTTAACAGATTGTGATAAATGCCATCAGAGATGAGTAGAGCAGGATGCTCTGGCTGTTTTGAGGGAGGCATCATCTATTTCAGATCTGAGAATAATGGTAGGCTTCATTGCCAGGATTTTGAGCTGTGACTTTAAGAATAAATAACAAAGGGCAATTGACTTATCAACCTTTACTTTACTTTATTGAGTTGATTTGACATTGTAGTGTTCTCAGGACACACAGGCTCCATGATTTGTCCTATAACAAAACACTGTTAATGTGCTAGCTTTCAAAATCACAGCACAAGGGGCAAATCATATAAATGAAGATGGGAGAGATACCAAAATCCTACTCTTTTTTTTCCTTCAACTATTTCTTAAATATGATTTTTTCATTTTTCAAAATTATGGATATTTTTGTAAACAAGTTGTTTGTGCAAATTAATTTGGGAAAAAGATAACTAGAAACTATTCTAAAACCTGGCTTTTATCTTCATGTCAAACTATTGATAGAGGATAAATGCTACCTTGTTTTCCTGAGGAAAATTAATTCCTGAGGAAAAAGTAACTCAGGGTCTATTTGGTTATGATTTAGGTAAAAATAATCATAGATAAATATACTACAATTTTTAAATTATCTAATCCATTTTTTCTACTGTTTAATATAAAATGTTCTTTGGGGCTATCATTTGATTCATATGTACATCAATTCACTTGAATCTGAGTTATTGCTTGGATACTGTATATCTTCCCAAACAAGACACATTAATAAATACTTTTTAGGAAATTAAATGTCAATATATTGAAACTTTTAATTCACTGTCTTCAACCATGGAAAAGATTAAAACAAAAATCCATCTTTCTTTTATTCTGAAAAGGAAAGATTATAATAATGGAAATGATTTAATGCATGTTAATAAAAAGCAGAGTGCTCAAAGACTTGTCTGGGGATAAGGACTTTTTATGTATATGGATAATCATAATTATCTGCCTGTTTGGTACTGGGGGCCCTTGAATACTAAGGGAAGATACTTAGAAGTAGTTGTGACATCAAGTGGAAGGTTCTTGTCCATAAGTCATTTCACATGATATTCTTCTTAAATCGACTTATGAGCAGTGACTTCCACGGTTCTAAAGACCAGATCTGTACCAACCTGAATAACTAGGTATCTTTGAGGGTCTCGAGCCATCCTTGAAAATTCAGCAGCCAGTTCCTTAAATTTAGGTCTACTGTCAGCATCAATCATCCAACCTAGAAATTCACACACAACACAAAAGTCACTCTATCCATAATTATGAAGAAGTAGGATGTTAATTTTATGAAAACATAGGCTAGGTTTGAAAAATGTTGTTTTAATAACAATGATCTAAAAAAAAAAAAACCCACAAAGAAAGCTAAAGAAAGAAACAATCCAATAGGTGAGCTTCTATCTCAATCAGTTTGTTGATATTCAGAAGTAAATGAAATATATGATAGAATAACAGAAATTTTTAAGGGTGCCTTGATGGCTCAGTGGGTTAAAGCCCCTGCCTTTCGGCTCAGGTCATGATCCCAGGGTCCTGGAAAGCAGCTATGCTCACCACTATACCACCAACGCTGCACAGATCCCAGGGTCCTGGGATCGGACCCCGCATAGGGCTCTCTGCTCAGCAGGGAGCCTCCTTCCGCCCCCTGCCCCCCTCTCCCGCTCTGCCTTCCTCTCTGCCTACTTGTGATCTCTGTCTCTCAAATAAATAAATAAAATCTTTAAAAAAGAAAAAAGAATAACAAATTTTTATTTTATTGATCTAATTTTTCTGCTTAGGAATCATAACCTAAGCTAACTATGGGAACTTACAGAAGCTCTGATTTCTTTTTTATTTCCTTAAGTATGGAGAGAATACCTTTTTTTTTTTTTAACTTTTTTTTGATGGTAATAGAAGAGGTGATTGGGATATAATTTATTATTTTATGTCAGGAGTGACATGGAGCTTTGGTTACAATGCAGTATACCAGCACAGAAGGGGAGAAGGGAAATGAAAGCAACTTTCTTTTCCTGGTGAGGAAAAAAAACAGTGCAAAATGATTGGTAATGTTTGTTCAGCAATAGCCATTAGCTTATCTAAGTACTAGCCTTTGCAGCATAAAAATACTATCAGCAATTTTCAAGGTATGTATTATTATTTAGCTGGGAGTCTAGATAAAGTGGGTCTTATCTCCCCAGGCTCTGTTTAGCTGATGAGATCACAAGAATAAAAGCACCAAGCTTTTCCTTATTTTCTTGCCAAATGACCCTCTTCCTAGGTATTAAAACTCATAAAAGCAAGGTAAAACTCCCTATTAGGCAAAATATTTTCCTGATTTTTCATTGTTTCATCAGAGCAGCTAAATGAAGTATGTAAATCACTTCTGATGCTAGTTATGAGATCAAATCATATAATGCATGCATGTTCTTTAAAATTCCTTCCATAGATGACTACTGAATGATGTTTGTTCCAATAAAGCTATAAGGTTTATTTCCTTTTTCTGGGAGTTCAATTTTTATTCTTGTTCTGGGAAGTCTTTGGGTGTCACTTCACGTATCATTAATATCAGCTGAATTTTTTTCTCTCTTAACAAAGCTCAACTATTTACATCCACTTAGGAAAAAAAAAATGCTGTTGATACCAAGATGCTAATGAGGAAATAGGTGTTTCTGGAACTACTGGAATCAAAAAAGGTTAACTTCGCTGGGAGGTATCAGTTTCTTTCTAACTAAATATTGAGTAAATAGAACTATGCTTAGAGAAAAGGGCAAGCTGACCTGAACTGGAAAGCACATTTTTATTTCTTCCCTCACTGACAGAATGTATCACACATGTCATGAATATAAATCTGAGTAGACCTAGGTCCAAAGTCTTGTATTAATAAGATGCTTATTCACCTTCACCAGTTTGTTTCTTTGCTAACCCTGTGTAAATCAAAAGGGGAAAACCCCAGATTACACAAGAAAGATTGCTGAATGTTAATCTCACTTAAATTAAGTAGGAAACTCCAGAGACTTTCCTAATTCTATCTAAATTAAGAGCCTAGGCTGCCAAAACACATTTATAATACATATGTGTCTGGGGCATAGAAAGAAGAAAGAAAAGTAAGAGCGTTTGATGTAAACAAATGATCAAATTTTTTTAAAAAAGCAAACATTTGTAATCTTTTTATTTCACTGCAGAAATTCATGTCTTCTCACTTCCCATTCTGCCCTGCTAATTTCCTGTTGACTAAAACTGGTAAACCTATTTCCATTTAATTCATCTTTTTAAACTATCAGTTTCAAGCTTTCTTTCTTTATATTTAGATCATTTGTTTAGACAGCTATTTTCCTATAAAGATTACTAACATTATTGTGACTAATTACATCTCTTTGTGAAGGACAATTTGATTGTCATGGAAATGATAAGAATCAAAGTGAAATGAATCAGAAGAGTAAGAGTCATATAATTTCAACTTTATAATGTGGAAGCATGCATACTGATGCATATTGCTTCCTATTAACAACAAGCCAAAAACACAAGTGTTTACATGATTTTTCGTAATTACTTTTGAGCTTTCACATTTTTCAATATATAAAAACATTAGGCAGGTAGATTAATCCATACTATTATTTTACTAAGCGTGATGATGGTGATGATAAAATTATTTTGCAATCTTACATTTGACCATGACCATGTAAACGTCAATAGTGCAGATCGGAGGCTGGGGCAAACGTTCTCCTTTCTCTAATAAATCTGGGATTTCTCGGGTTGGAATTCCATCATATGGTTTTCCTCCAAAGGTCATCAGTTCCCATATAGTGACTCCTAAATTAGACATCAAATATTTACATAAGCATATTAACAACATAATTTGAAGAAACCAGCAGAATGCCAGTGACAAAAGAAAACTCCCTGGAAGGCAAAAAAAAAAAAAAAAAAAAGTCTAAAGAGGGGTGCCTGGGTGGCACAGCTGGTTAAGCATCCAGACTCTTGGTTTTGGCTTAGGTGGTCATCTCAGGATCATGAGATCGAGCCCCACCTCAGACTCTATGCTCGGCGCCTGGTCTGCTTAAGACTCTCTTCCCCTACCCCACCCTGCCCCCACCACCACCACCAATCTAAAGTACATAAATAAGTCTTTAAAAAAAGTAGTCTAAAGAAAGGCTCTTCAGATTTCTATATCCATTAGGAGAAGCTCAGTGACAAGATCTTTGTGGGAAATTCAATTATCTTACGATTGTCTTGAAATTTTTTAATGAGTAGCAAAGACAATTCTGAGTGAATGTCAGAATACAGGGTCTATTCCCCATTTCTACTTTTAGGTAATATTAATGTTTGCTGGACCAAGTTAATTTTCACTACATAGCAATAGAGCCTATCAAACAATTTATTATATACATGTGTGCTCAGTATCAAGTAATTATGATTGCAGATAAAATCTGATGTTGACTAATTTTGAGATTACCATTTTTGTGATTTCAAGTCCTATAGGCTAAGCTGGGCTGCCAGAATGATTACCTTATGTTATGGTAAATCACTGTGGCTCTCTTTTTGACTCACACAAAGAGAACAGATGGAATGAAACACATTCCTATCTTTAACACCTGAGAGAGCCTGAGGGATCCAAATATAACATAATACCTGTGAAAGAGGTATCACAAAATTGAAGGGAATCAATAATAGTCGATTCCTTAGATAAGAAATCACTTTCTTGAACCACTAGAACAGTGATTCCCTTTGTAAAAGCAAATACCCTAAACACCAGCCTGCAAATAGCTAATTCTGATAGTAATAATGATTCTGGTTTGAACAATAGTATATACGCTATAGGTCTCTTTATGATCTCATAAATATACGATTAAAAAGTTATCATTTCTTAAGGATAAGGATTTTAAGTTCATACATAGCAGTCTCTGCATAAGATTCTTACCTAGTGAATTTTGATGGGTTCATATAATACACAACGTATGTTTTAATTAGGACTATGCTTTCTTTCCTACTGGAATGAATTATTTATTCAAACTGAGGTCTTTTTTAGCTTATAACAGTTATTACTGGCTGATAATAAAAATATAAAGCTTAAGATATAAAAGTACATGTGAACTTCAAATTATCCTTTATCATAATATCATTAACAATTACCTGATTTTTCTTGTTAATATTTTCATCTTATGATTCTTAGGTATAATATAAAAATGTAACTAGTAACACAATTTAACTGTTTGATTTTTATTAAATCTTACTTAATTTTGCATATTGAAGAATGGCTCTGTAGAACCAATAATTAAGATTGAGTGTCCATGAGGCAGGCTGGAACAATTAAGAAGAGGATGGCTGTCTATTTCTATTCATTCAGTCAATATAAATACGTATTTATAGACTATATATTTAATGAGGGCATTTTGTTAACTTATGTATGCAGTTATAAAAGAACAGATCCTTTCACCTCTCTATCAGAACTTCTAAAAAAAAAGAACTTCTAATATAAAAAATTGCAAAGCAATTACAAATCAAAATAATAGAAACTATAATAAAGAGAATATAAACTATAATAAATATAAAAAAAAAGAAGGAACATCAAAACCCCCACCTCTGCCAATAATAATCCAATTATATCTTTGCAGGAGTGACCACAAGATAGGGTTAAACAGAGATGGATATAGAAGAACAGTCCCAGGAAAACTGAATCAGAAACATCCTCAAAACTTGCAATCTTATCATTTGAACATAAACCATATCCAATGCATATTTATTTTTATAAAATTAATTTTTATATTAATTTTATAAAAATAAATACACATCTGGTGGCAATTTTCCACAAAGGTGCAGTGTAAACAACATTATTTTTCTCTCTGACTTATATGCCTTTTGCAATCAACTATGATATATCATAAAAATCTTAAAATGCCTTATGGATATGAGCTGATGACCTGGGCTATGTTTCAAAGCAGAGTACTAATCTATCTATCTATCTATGTACTTATTTTAGAGGTCGTTTAAGATTGCTTGCAGCAGATTGCCACATTTAATTGAGGGAAACATTCATAGAAAAAAAAAGGAAAAGTGATATATATGTCACATATTAAAATATAAATGTCAAATATTAAAATATAAAATCTAATTTGTTTCATGTAATATATATACTAGATTTGTGTTCTGTGTAGTCTTCACAGTTCAACAACTTAAATTTTTCAATAGTTTCCCTATAATTGTCTAAATCTCAAGCGCAGCACACTTTCTACTTCAAAGCTTATTAAAAATTTTTTTTTTTGTTTTTTCAGTGTTCCAAAATTCATTGTTTATGTACTACACCCAGTGCTCCATGCAATACGTGCATAGAATACACAGAACCTTTGTGGAAATTTTAAACAAACAGCATACGTGTGTGGAGGGAAAAAACACTTTACGGAAATGTCTTAACTTTTTTTTTTAAAGATAATTTGTGCTTCTCTAGATAAGAGGTATAAGTTCTTTAGTGATTAAATGATTAAGTCTTTTTTTCTAAAAATAAAGAACAAAGATAAAGCTAGACTTAGATTTGAGTAAACTTAATTGTAACATACTTTCAAGTCACTCCACCACCTTTTGCTTAAAGGGCATCATGCTTTCAATTTGTAAGAAATACTGGTTCTTTGCAACATATTTAAACTTAGAAAGGGTGTTGATTCATTCTTACTACTACCGGGATGGACTTCAATTGTAAATAGCCAGATAGATCTAATTATCTCATCTCAACAATTGAGTTAAATGTGATTAAATGAATGCTCTAAGTTTAAAATCACTCTTTCCCGGTTCATATTATTCATTCTCTAATATATCTGTTTATTCCAAAGTAGTCTGTAAATTAAAATCAAAACTGCAATTAGCAATCTTCTCTCCTATTTCTCCCCTCACGTTTGCTCTCACCTTTCAGTAATTGTTTTTTGTTACAACAATAACCTCTTTCTTATTATAGAAAAGACATTCTTTTATTTTTAATATATGTTTTCAAAGAGTTTTTTGAAAAATCAAGGCTATGATGCTCTATGATATTGTTAAACTAAAATTGGTTATTTTCTTTTTTTTCTGTCAAAATGATCAGAAAAGTTGCTACCAAACCAAAGGTTATGGTAGACAACTGAGATTTTAATATATTACACTTTAGAGAACCAAGAAAAAAAACAGAAAAAAAGCAGATAAATGATACAGTTTAAGGTTTTTTTTTGTTTTGTTTTTATGTGGAAGAGCAAAGAGTTAATTCCTTTAGGAAACAAGGCTTATAAATAGGTATTTCCAACAAAATAAAATAAATTAGCTTAAATATTTTACATGAGCCTAATATATTTATTTTTGCCCTAAATCCCATAATTCACAAGGAAGATTTATTTACCGTAGCTCCAAACATCACTCTGATGGGTAAATTTTCTATAGTGTATACACTCCAGAGCCATCCATTTAATTGGCATCTGAAAAAGAAAAAGAGAAATAAAAAGTGAAAGTCTTATAGTTATTTAAAAAGTCATTCTTACATTCATTTCCCAAAATATGAACCTCTGGGCTTGCCTCAATTGTATTTTTTGATTGTGTGTTTTTTGTATGTATAGAAAATACAGATATAATAATAATAAACATTTTTTTCAGTATAGAGAACAATGAATTAAAATTTATAAAATTCATAAAGTGAGTTAACCTAAAGATATATTTATTTTTAAAAGCTTCATAAACAATGAAAAATAAAATAGTATTACCTTCTATAGTTCTTAATTAATGTTCGGCAATTAATTCAGTTACTGGTTAATATTATGACTCACAATATCGATTCCAAACATTTAAGACATATGCTTTTAAAAATATGATCTACTACATTTTCCCCCAAAAATGACATTCCTTACACTTTCACTTATTCTTTTTTACCCTCAGAAAATTTCTGGCTACCAGTAAGATGGTCTATTTCTATACTTGCCCCCACTTTCTCCTTTCATATAATTTGGTCACTTGAAACACCTAAAATAATGAATTCCAAAGTTAGGCTTGCTTTGTTCCCCAGCCACAGATGATCTCCCTTGCCTTGGTTAACCAGTATTGAAAACATGTACTATTTTCAGACCAGGAATTATATAAAAGAATGTGAGAGGATCAGTACCAATCTATCATCACTACAAGAAAAACAACTCAACTCACATACCCTGCTGATAAGGGGTCAGCAGACTTAAGTTTCAACTAGGAAGGGCAGCATTATATAGCTGGAAATATAATTAGATTCTATGGAATAAAGATAAACACTTCTACTTTGCAGTTGAAAGCTTAAAACTAACAGGCCTTTGAAATCATGAGGTTTGCTGCTCACCAAGGTGACACCAAGGCAACTGTATGACAGAATCACAGTATTCAGTGAAAAGGAACAGAAGACACACTTTAAAGTGATTTCCCTATGGGCAAGGAGTTAGCCAACTTTATGGACTACGGACGTTGTGTTAAAGAAGTAAGTTTAAATCACAGGTGGCTTGATAAAGACTTAATGGTTACCAGGCATTTAAAGCTATAATGAATCTTGCTTTAGACAAATCCTACAGCTGTATTTTCTTAAGACAAGTGAAGTCATGTGATTTATAGACTTCTACTGTGCAATCTTACAGTGAATTTCAAAGCTGTGGTCTCAAACTGCGGCAATTTGGTAGTAAACTGGCAGAACAGCCTAATAAAATCACGGAAAGATTGGGAAATACTATAAAATGAAAGTTATTTTTTAATTTTTCTTTTGTGATAGGATTTGAATACCTATATAGTTATATAATAGATCATATAAAGTAATATAAAAATCATATACTGCATGACATTCAAAAATCAATGTTAAGTATTTGGAAGCCTATCATTGCAAAATATTTATAATCTATATTTGGGTGGCTCATGATAAATAAAGCACATGATAAACATATTTAAATGACATATCAATCACTTTTTTTTTGTTTGTTAGCATGTGTTTACACATCACCATAGGTTAAGGATGCATTTGCTTATTTCATTTGGCCTCTCCTGATCTAAGTTTTCCCACATTAAGCTAGAGGGACCTCCAGATGGAGAGGAGATATCCTCACAGTTTAGCCAAGAATGGCGATCTCAACAGTGGGTTGATGATGAAAAACAAGAGCTGGAACTAAGGGCTGGGCTGAGACCATATGGCAGGAGCACAGTTGTCAGGCAAGGCCAGAGGCTGGACAGTCAGAAAAGTAGAAGAGGCAACGGTACTGTTAAGATCCCCGGGATATAGTAGCCTACATTTTGGTGGAGAGCATCAGGTTAAATAAAGCAAATTAGTCAATCACATACTATAGTAAAGCTTAAAAAAATAGAGGCAGAAAAGAGAAATCTGTGTTATCTGGTGTAAGAGGATTAGAAACTAAACAGGATGAACAAAAGTTCCCATGAGTTATGGTTCTTGGTATCCCGTGAGTTATGGTTCTTGGTAGTAGCCAGGCTTCTCCCTAATCGATGAAAGAACAGTTAGGTCTTTCCGTAGTGGTGAGTCCTTTGTTCTTAGGATCAGTGAAACAATTTCTATGGTCCTGGATTAAAGTGTAATTTCCAGTTCACCTAAGGATCCACCCACTTCCCAATACTGGACGTGACATAAGGACCACTAGAGATGAACTGCCTTATTTTAGCTACTTTTGAGAAATTGATATTGGTATATATAATATATTTGACCCTGGATGGGAGAGAAGGCAAATGGTGGAATTAAGATTTTACACTTTCATAAACTCAGATTAAGTGGCCTCTTCCTCTATTATGTAAGAAGATAAAATATCATATTTTCAAGCAATAGTGCTCTATAAAACACCCACCTTTCCTCCATCAGCATTATATTCTTTTTCATCTCCTTCTAAGAGTCTGGCTAGTCCAAAATCTGTGATTTTCACATGGTTTGGAGATTTCACTAAGACATTTCGGGCTGCCAAATCCCGATGAACAAGCCGTCTTTCTTCCAAGTACATCATTCCCTGAAAAACACCAAGTTCCAGAAAGATAGTCAGTCAATGCCTAGGCTTTTCTGTTTGTCTAAAAAGCAGTTTCTTAGCCTTCAGTTTTAAGTGCTTGATTTCTTTAAGCAAAGCCAGAATCCTGAAATATTTTAAAAATTAGGAAAAACCTGGGGTAAAAAGCAAACCACAAGTAACTTTTGGCCCTTTTCCCCTAAAGTCCTATAAAGAATGAATTACCTGTACATTAGCTAAATATTAGGTCACTTTTCTCCCCTCAGAGTTCTTATACTCTTTTGCAAACACTTGCACTAGCGAGGCATACATGTGTCTCAGCAGATAAGCTAACACATACTTGGACTGACCCCCATATTTCTAGTTGTTTTTTTCTCAATAACTACTGCTTCATGTCATCCTCTCTGTACCCCACCTGCTCCAAATAAAGACATCCATTCATAATTTTTTTAAAAATATTTCATACAAAGGTTTAATGGTGCCAAAATCACCATCATAGATTCTATCCGGACTGAAGAATTATATTGTTAATTATGCAAAAATGAACTATACCTTAAAGGCACAAGCCTGTAATTTTTTTAAATGACTTCAATGACATTAGTAGTCATTGTAAGAACCCACAAGTGAAATTAAGTTGTTTATAATGACCCTGAAATTAGCCTTTAATGTGTTTTCTTCATTAAATATATAGGGTAATTAAAAATAAAATGTATTGCTGATTGCCAACATTTGCATATATCCACATATATCCATATATGTTCATATATATATTCATATGTATATATTCATAATTCATAGAAGCAACAAATATCAACTGACTTTACCAGTAGAGAAACCAAGAATCAGTAAACGTTAGCCTTAACTAAAGGTTGATGTAAAAGCAAGGAAGTAAAGACAGAGGCCCAGATTAGAGTGAACATATTCTTTTTGACGTGTTAGAGGAATTATGTATTTGAGGATTTCAGAGGTAAAATATGTTGTCATTCAAAAACAAAATCATAATCACTAGAATATGGTTAGACCATACTCTCATGCCAATCGCAAATCTAAGCTGTTGATAGTTAACATTAGAATTGCAGGACTTTAAAGGATTAATGGTTGCTGATATAAAAACAAAAGCTGTGGAAAACAGACACATAAATCACACAGGGAAAAATAAAAGAAAAAATATGAAATGTACACCCAGTGTAGTGTAAAGAGAAGATTACTTCAAACAGCATCATGGGCCAAACACTATACTATAAATGCCCATTAAACACAACCAGTGGAGATACTAGCTGATATGGTCCACCTGGTCAGCTGTTGGGTGACACCATTTTTATTAGTGTTTTCTGAAATCAGCCCACAACTGAGGTCTTCTTTCCTAAACACTGCTTTCTGTTTGAGTATGCAAACTTAGAAACTCCTAGAATAAAGTGAAACTAAAAACATACAGCCTTTATATGACTTAAGGGATCAAAAAACAGACTTATTGCTTTGGAGATAAGATTTTTTTCAATTATTTGCCCATTGAAGGAATGTCCACAAAACATTCATCTTTCCTTTCTTACCACCTTCATATCAGAATATAGAAAGTGTGTTGGCAAAGAGTTAATATTCAGATCCACACACGATGATGGAGCAACACTATGTCCCAGGCATTGTGCTAGACATCAGGGAAACAAAAGAGTCAGAGAAGCTCTTCACTGAAGGAGGACAGAGCTATTAACGAAATGGGCAGACATGGAATATGGACTTGAGTGAATTGCTTTGATACACATAAAGGCATTTAAGGAGAGTTGTTTTGATGTTCATCTGAAGTAGAGCCTAGCAAGTATGCATGAGATGGGAGCCTTCAGAGAGATTCCAAGGCCCAAGTAAGGTTTGAAAGACGTCCACCAGTTGGGCAAGGTGAGGGGAAAATTGCAGTTAGAGAGAACACACATAGGGCCATCAATACCATGGTGTACTTGGACAAAGGTATGTGATTCAGTATTTCTGAGTCATTACATATAAAGGCAGGAGAGGGGTGAATGGTGAGCCTGACAAAATAAGAAGAGGCTCAATTCAACAAGGGCCTCTTATGTGTCATGGTAGAGAATCTGAGCTTTTCATCTTAGGCAGTATTTGATCTGGTGATGCAGAAGTTGTTTTAAAAAGGAGAGCAACACAATTATCACTGGAGTTTTGAAAAAAATCACCTGGTATATAGTCAAAGGATTGGACACAAATACAGCTGAAGTTGGAAGCCCCTGCTACAATACAGAAGAAAAGTGATGAGGTGGAAAATAATAAAGGTTACAAATTGGCAGTCCAGAGGCTATATCCATTTTCCACACATATTTTTTGATCCCCACAGTGGGCAACTTTCAAACATCCTTTTTAGCTGATGACTGGCTGTACGCCATTGAGGTCACCTTCAGCTTGCCAAGATCCCACCACTCACTACTACTACCTACAAGTTCATTTATGATACTCACCTAGCTTCAATGCATGAGTGTCTGAATCTTTGACTAAACTAGGCCAGAAGAAATTTCAGGGAGAGGACAATTCCAAGATACACTTATATAATAAAATAACCATCCTTGGTAATCGAATAATGAAAAAGAGAGTAAATTACGAAAGGTTGTGTTTCCTGACTTTGGTAATTTAGGTTGATAATAATAATTCTTTTAACTAAGTATTATCTTAATGCAAATAATAGTGATATATACCATACCAATAGAGAACTAATATTCACCAAGAAACTTTAAGACCCTAATGACACATTCTATGTTATGAGCAGAACTATAAAAACTCCAAATGTTCTATGATATTATATACACAAAGCCGTACCAGGTGATAGATAACCTTGAATCTCAATTCCATTTGTCTATAAAAAAGGTTTCCTTCCAAATAATGAGAAGTCAATTCAGGAAACCAGATGATAATTTCTATATAGTTTCCTCTACCCACCTGACCATAATTAAAAGAAATAAAAACAGAAGCATCTGTATTATTACCAAATCATCAAAATATATTTGTATGGTTGCTTTGCAACTATGAGTACATTATAGGAATACTAACACAGACAATAACCACCGCTAACATTGACTGAGTACTCAGAACATGGCAGGTATTAAACTAAACGCTTCTACCACAATAGATTAACTTAATCCTATGATATGTATACTGTCTTCATCCCATTTTAAATATTAGAAGACCAAGTCCCAGAGATGTCATTACTTGCTCCAGGTTATCTAATGAGTGATAGAACTGGGATCTGATCCCTTGCTGTGGGGCTCTAAACTCTACACATTTAAGCCTACCCCTCCTCTCTTGATGGGTCATGGGGTCATGTGGACACGTAGAAATTAATGTACACAGTAACGCCACATAGCTTTAAAAGATCCTTGTTCTTTTGGAGCAAAAACATTATAAGATGTTTCTGTGACCTGAGGGCATATGCAAGTGACTGACTTGTTTATATTTATATTTAAAATTCAGCTAAACTATAGAACTTTTCTGATTTGGCAGGAATTTGAATTACATAAATTAGAAACTTAATTCTTGCATCGGCCCCAGGATATGCAGGATGGTGGAGTTGGTTTGAGTGTAGATTCTGAGGTCAATTGCCTGGATCGAACCCAGCTCTGCCGTGTTCTAGCTGTGTGACTCTGGCAAGTTAGTTAATCTGGCACTCATCTTTGTCTCTAAAATGGCCATAAAAGCACCTATACCACAGATTGTTGTAAAGATAAAACGTGTTAATATATGTAAAGTACTCAAATAGTAGCTGCCACATCATAAGTGCAGAACATGCAAGCTTTCATTATTTTTCCACAGATATCAACAGCCCTAGCGTGAACAAGAATAACTTACCCTCATTAACTTGAACTGCTTATTTGAGAAAATCTGTGAACCTCAACTAATATATCACAGTAGGCATTCAATAAATGTTTACAAATGGTGATACGTATACCCATAACCAATCCATCATGATTAATGTGTAGGTACAAATTCCAAAGAATTACTGTTCAAAGTATTATTTTAGTAATCATTCACCTGAGGATGCTGTTATATAAAAAGAAGGAAAAATTAGGGAATCTACTAAAAGATTTGGTGCCTTCCATAAATACATCACAGAGTCATGGTTTTAGTGAGGAAAAAGGTCATGAATAATAGCCTTTAGGCTGAAAGTTTTCAGTGCTGCAGAAAGGGTGAATAAAATAGTAAATTTGCTCTACTGAAATATCTGTCTTTTATCAGCACTGAAAGTTTTTCATAGACATATTTTAGGAGCATTTTGTCTACATCTAGACCCAAGTCCTAGAAGTCTGATTTTACCCAAGCTATTCAGAATTTACCATTGTCCAAGCCATTCAGTATTTTACCATTTTTCATACTTGCTCTATAGGCTGTAATGAGTTTTCAAAGAGTACTTACTTATTTTCTGTTTTGCTTATACCTCTTAAGAGGTGCTTTAAATGAATACAATCTAGCTAGGGAAAGTCAAACTTAACTCTGACTTCCAGAAATGAACTTTAATAGCAAAACCAAGGATAATTTTATTACAATTGAGTTTAAAGTTTTAATCTCTGGTTAAAATTGACTCATCTAAACTGCTCTATGGAAATATATCAAAATATTGGTATTGATGAACACCTAGCAATGACCTTCTTTTCAATCTTATGATATTTGAATCACAACTGTCTAGCAAAAATGCATTCTTATTATGTTTTAATCTGATGTGAAAATGTATTCTGCCCAGCTGCAGGAAGCTAACGCAAGTCAAGAGAGACCAGACTATTTTTGACAATAAATATTTGCTTCCCATATATAGGCCATATGACAATTTCATCAAACACATGTGTGGAGCTAAAAATTTCAAGCTGCAGTCAGCTCTCACAGGCATTAATCTCTGGAGTTAGCAAGAGTACAGTTTTCTTTTCTTTTTTTTTTTTTCCTGTTTTCATTCTAATAACCTGAAGCTTTTTTAATAACACAGGAAGCTTCAGGAAAGCTAGCTTCAAATGAAAATCACTCCT